TGCAGAGGTTCCAGTGGAGCGTAGCTAGACCAACATGCAGAGCCAAATCATTTTGCTTCAGCAACTGGCGGTCTAGAATCTAGGCTAGAATATTGTGGCATTTTATGCAAACGCGTGGTGAACCTTGACCCCACCATCAGTTTGGACTGTTTTTATCTTCTGCCTGAACTCATCAGCTCTTTTCTGGCTGAAGTCTGGACCTTTTTGTCTCGTAGTTTTCTTCAATGCCAAGCAGACTTAATCATGGCAGCGGGACCCGTTCCCCGCAGAGCATCAATGACTTGTTACCTACGATAACACTGCAGGACCCCAGCTGACTAAGGAGATGCCCGTATTAAAGCCCCTGCTTCCAAGGAAACGGGCTTAGCGGTTCACAGCACTGCATCACCTCTGAACTTTAATCTTTGTCTCACAGCCTGTGACAAGCGCTATGAAATGGAGATGTGAGGCATGGCTGAAGAATAGGAACAATAATCAACATTCTTTTAACCGTTCATTTGACGAAACTGACACATTTTATTAAGCATGAAAAGAGGTCGCTCTTGCTTAGTCAGAAACCCTTCAGATGATGATGAAAGAACTTCATGGTGGTATTGAAAAGAGGGAAAGATCCATGAGATGATGGAGGTCCAACCTCACCCTATTTTTACCTTTAAGACTATAACTAAAGCTGAACCCACATAATACTGAAACAGTGCCAAATGGCTCCTCAAATAGCCTCAGCAGTTACATTTTCCCCTCATGCTCTTGATTAAGTATATTTCAAATATTCATGGCGATGGAAACGTGTAACAATGGCTCTTAGAAAGCCTGCTGAGTGTCTAATTCACTCAGATCATACAATATGTTCAGATGACTGAAACCGTATGCTATTTCAGAAACCTCGCTTGCTGTAATTCAGCACTGCGAGGCCAAAGTTCCATTGGTAATGGTCGCAAGGAGAGCCAAAATAAATTCCTGCTGCTTGTTTTCTTTGTGGATGTTGGTTTTAGAGGGCGAGAGAGAGAGAGAGAGAGAGAGAGAGAGAGAGAGAGAGAGAGAGAGAGAGAGAGAGAGAGAGAGAGAGAGTGTTCCACAGTCCAGAACTCCTGAAAACGTATGAATAAAAAAAATACATCCAGAATTATCAACCATGACACCTCAATTTGAACTCACTTTTTGAAACGATGGCAGATTGTTTGCTGTATGTTGCTATGGAAACCTGCTGCCTCCCTATCTCTTCTTTGGGTAACATCCTTACTTTTTAGGGCAACAGCCAAACCAACAAAGCATCACAACTACTTAAATAGAATCACAGGATGTCATTACGTTGGTTAACCATCCTGACATGTTCGGATGTAAATCATCTGAAATGTGGGAAGCCAGAGGACGCAGGCTGATGCTGACTCACATCAAACAGAGCTCCTAATTTGAACTGACTTATTCTAATTCTGCAGAATGTGGGCTTCTTCTTTTTCTACATTTGTTTGATGTCTTTTCTTTTTTAGGACTTAGAAATCACATTGTTGAAAGTATGTGAGTGCTTTCAACCAAATATTACTAAATCAGCTATTATCCACTTAGTGAAACATTAGTTTGAGCAGTTAAAGGTGGTGACGGAAACTTGGACCTATATGGGAGCTGCTACAAAATCAAAACTATCCTTAGAGATGTTTTAAATAAATATGAAAAACTAATGAGCTTAAAATGTTTTTAAATGCCTTTTATGCAGGAACCTCTTTGCATGCTAGATCACTCTCCAGCATGTAATGAGGCTTCTACGTATGCGTGTCTATGAGCTAGCCACTTTACTACAACATACGTGACTTTTGTGAGCTTTCAGGTCGCTGGTCCGCAGAGCCAAGTTGTAAACATGTTTTTTTGCCCACAAAGGGCAAAAGGGGCAGAAAAACTAATAATTCACTCTGGATGCGGTCATTTTAGCACCTACTGGGTCAAAAAATGATTCAAACTTATGAAAAAGTTATTTAGTGTGCCTTTAATGTTTCTGAGGTCAGAGTTCAATGGCTTGATAAATAAAAAACCTTCATTTAAAATAATATTTATATATGACTTCATGATCGCCCTTATGTCAAATAGACTGCCTGTCCAGAAAAAAAAGTTGCCACCTGGATTTAACTAAGCAAATAGATAGGAGCCTCTTATTGGATAATTACAAACCTGGTGGTCGTGGAACAGATGTTATTCTGAGATGGGTCAGATCTTTGGCATGCATCAAGCTGAGAAAACTTTTAAGGAGATTGCAGAACCTACTAACATTGGGTTAGGAACAATCGCAGGAACCCATCGTCTTCAAGGAAGAAATGTGGCTGGAAAAAAATCCTAAATGATTGTGATCGGTGATCACTGAAAAGTTTTGTGAAATCAAATAGAATAAAAACAGTAAAACTCAGGGCTATGTTATGAAAATATCAGAGCATTTCCATCCGCACAATGAAAAGCTAACTCAAGGGATTGGGACTGAACAGCTGTGTAGCCGTAAGAAAACCACTAACAGTGAGGCCAACTGGGAAAAAGGCTTTCATTTGCTAGTAGAGCTCGGCAATAAATCGAAAATGTATCATTATCGAAATTTCTGACTGCTATCGGGATGATTTTTCCATGTCAATAAATTTGATTATAAAAAAATGAACAAATGTGTATAGGTCGGCAATGTTCATGTCCCTTTAAGAAGCTGTATCAGTGGTCAAGAGTCTACCAGCATCAATGCAAGCTCTTGGTGAAACATTAATGCAACACTGGATGGAAATAAACCTGGTGCTATTGCAGAAGCTTCTTAAAACAATGCCACAGCAAGTGTGTGCCGTAATAAAAACTAAAGGCGGTCCAACCAAATATGGGAGCATGTGCCCTTCTTATAGGTGGCGATGTTCTTTTGGGACAGGTAGTGTATCTTATATCCGAAATCAAATACTGAACTGAAACAACATTGTCCAAAGAAAAAATAAATCATAGCTCCTTGAAAGAAAACTACAAAGAGAAGAAGGATGGGGCAGCAGTAGCTCAGAAGGTAAAGTAGGTAGCCTCATGAATGGAGGATTGTGACAGGGGTATTCTGCTGTTGTGTTCTTGGGCAAGACACTTCACACTGTGTTGGTGTTGGTTGTCAGAGGGGCCAATGGCCTTGCCTCTGTCAGACCACCCCAGGGTGGCTTTGGCTACACACTAGCTCACCATCACCAGCAGTGTGTAAATGTGAGAGTGTGTGACTAAAGGAAAGTGCTTTGGGTGCCTTGAAAAGTGGTTTATTAATCCAACACTTTGTTATTATTAATAAGGTCACCTGAAGACAGAATTTTACAGTACAAAGGATACGATGTCTGATTTCTCTCTGAAACAGGTTGGCAAAGATGATTTTTCATTGGAAACAGTTTGAACCCCCCTTCAGTTCATCAGTGGCTATATTTCTACTGTTTCTAGAAAAAAAAGCCTCCCAGCTGAGATGTTTTCTGGATGTGATCAGAGGTGTCGCATTGCTGCCACATGAACGGTTGGGTTAACAGGAAACCATCAGCCTATGTGTGCCTGACTTGCCCCTTTCCTTCAAAGCACAACGTCCATCACATCCAGTCCACGTAAATAAACCAAAGTGCTTTGAGAGAGCATGTGTTATGGAGCTCGGCCGCAGCACGCCAACCTTCCAGGCTCTCGCTGCCCGGTTAAAGGCCTGCAGAGGGACCACAGAGCGAACTGACAGCCCACTGGAGGCCTGACAACAAGCCACTGAATCAAACCCAGACCAGCTCTCCTCCTCCTGCCTTCAGCCTCTTTCATCCTCTCTATACTTTGTGCGTCTTGAGCGGGTGAAATATGACAGATCTTTCCTTCGCAGCGGCTGCCACATATTTCCTCAAATTCATATGTAACCACAGCCTTAGCCATCTGCTTTTCCAAGGCTTATTTTCCTCTGGCGAGCTTTTGTGAGAAAAAGCCCAGACAAACACGGATGAAAAGGCAGCATTGGGTTCGTTGTTCCCCCAATAAATCAGCTGACTGAGCAAATGAAAAAAGGAAAATATGATGCAAACGGATCCTTGGGGTAGAAGTAATTAAAGATGCTAATGATGTGTCTATAAACACACACAGATAAATGAAGTTTATCACGAAGAAAAGCATAAACAGAAAACAAAGCCTGGTTTTAATCAGAATACAGATGCATGGAACAATTTACACCGCCAAGACTCTTAATTGGCTTCATGGATTCCTCGGTGCAGAAGGCATGTCTGAGCCATGATTGGACCCATTTGAGGAAGTAAATGCTGCAACAAGTCAATCAAAATCGCAGCGTGAATTTACAGAAACACAACCAGGCTGAAGGTTTGTGAGCAAGTCCTAAACTTTAAATCGTGGTCAGCACTTTCAGCAGGGATGAAAGCTGCACAGTTCCACTCACTTAACTCGGCTTTTCCAGGTCAATCAGCCTTTTCAGAACTCAGTACCTTCACCCTCAAATCAAAGGGCAAGAAGGAGATATTAACTTCGCCAGCATTGCGCAGTGACACTCGTTCTTTTCCCCTTCAGCAGATAATTACAGTTTTCTCCCCTTTCCGGAAAGCCTTTAAAAGCCCAAGCTGTGGTGGAAAATGTCATTATCGGTCCACTGTACTATTGGATTTATTCAGTGTTGTTTTATTTACGTTATTTTCAAAACAAACATGTTTAAAACTGCGCTGAGATGTGCCTGTTTCCATGCAAAATGGCATCATTGGTGTTTTACCAAACCATTAAAAAAGGCATGTGCTAAATAAATGTAAATAATCACAGCGGAAATGATGGTGAGACGTAATCAGAAACTGACCCCAAAAAGTCAGTGAAAATCACATAAACCTCTTTTCAGAGAAGCCAATTTACTGGATTTGAGGTGGGAGCTTTTAGCTCGGCTTAGTCACAACTGCCTCCACTTCTCTGGGAAACATGTTCGTATCAGAACTTTTTTTTTCTGACAAAAATGGACTTTATTTAAAAAAGAAACTGTGCACCAGTTCAGTCAAATGCCTTACCTCGGCCGCTGGGATGCCTTCAGGTGGGCGACACTGCAGCAACACTTCCTGCTCCAGTAGCACTTCCTTCCCGAGAGGTTCCTGATCAAACGTCTTCCTTAAATCTGCAGAAAATGAACAATAATGATATTCACCAATACTAACTCAGACGTTGATGATCAATGGACAGAATTACAGTTAGAATGTGCATTTGTAGATGCTTTTAAAGGTGTGGTTCACTCGTTTATACATTTGCAGTGTATACCATTGCACCATTTCCAGTAACTACCAGTTACCCACATCATAGCTGAGTTTCAACCAGCAGGATTTGGCATTTTATTACCTGAAATTTAGACATCTTGCCTCTGATTGGATAACAGCAACGTTACTCTACCACTGACTTGCAAATGGATATTTTACCTCCACAATAACACTAGCTTGGATGAGTTCTGCCATGTGGTGGTGTTGCTAATGCTAACGGTTAGCTTAAAGTAGCTGGGACGTTCGCTGCCATTTCCTGGACACAAACAAAAACAGTCTTCCCCGCCGTCAGCCAAGATGGGTGAGTCCATGAATGTTAAGAGACAGTGTGACGTAGATCTGTCAGGCTTATCTAATCCTAGAGTTACACCGTCTATATTCTATCAGAAGCTAACGCAAGAGATAAGTGTAGGAGACATGGACGTAATTTTCACTTTAGAAGTGGGGGGACACCGGGGGGGGGGGGGGGGGGGGGGGGTCACAGTATGTTCTAATGGGAAACAGGCTTCAACACAAATGGTTGTTTTCTGCTTGGTCCTAGAGCTCAACCAGTCTCAATTTAATATAGCGTAATGTTGTTTTTGGATGGTAAAAAGTGCAGGGGTCAAAACTTGACTTTGGAAAAAGTTGGGGGGGACATGACCCCCTGTCCCCCCAAAAAATTACATCCATGGTAGGAGATTATTTGCATGTTCAGCCTGCATGAAAAAGGTCAGTGACTGACTATAATCAGAAACAATAATTAAAAATCAAAAGGAATGACTTTATTTCCACTTGATTGGTAAAACATTACTGAGTCCTAATTAAATGGTTTAGAGAAGCAAAGTGAGGAAGAGCAAGGTCATTAAGGTCATTATAACTAGCCTGGAAAGCCATCCTACACATATAGACATGAAGTCTGGCCACAGCCAGCTGTAGGGCTAAATATATGGTTGCGCTGAAACCAATTGGAGCAATGAACAACGTGACATATTAATCACTACAGTAATCATTTCATAGGGCAGTCCATCATACACCATCGAAGAAGCAAGTGCATCCTTTTTCTAAATAACCTAAGTACCTCTATCTGCTCACGCCTCAAAGAAAGGCTAAATCATCCGAAGTTGATGCCAAAGCTCAAACCTGAGCTGAGCCCGTCTTTGGCCCTGTCCACACGTAGCCGGGGATCTGCCAAAACGTAGATATTTTTCTACGTTTTGGCCTGTCATCCACATGAAAACGGAGTTTTTTCACACGAAAACGGATCTTTTTAAAAACTCCGGCCAAAGTGAAGATCTGCGTTTTCTCCGTTTTGGGTGTCTGCGTGTGGACAGACAAAACCGGAGTTTTAAGGTCCGCAACGTCACTTTCCGCAACAAAAAATGCTGACATCACGTGTGCGACCTGTGTTTACACTAGCCGACAGCATGGATGCCCTCAGAGCTGCGCTCGCTTTATCAATTGTCCAAGCACTTTTTGCTTGTTTGTTTTTGCAAGCGGAATTACTGCTCCTTGCGGAAGACCACAGACGAAGGACGATGTTAAGAACGGGGGAAGTAATGCCGCCTACAGGTCTGGCATGTCCTTAACAACGTATTTATCCGGGTACGTGTGGACAGAGGTTTTTTTTAAACGAGGTGGTGTGAATGCAAGTTTTTGGAGGGGCGGATATTCGTTTAAAAAAAACCCAGCTACGTGTGGACTAGGCCTTAGTTGTTTTCTCCTCGCAGCTCTGGTACTAAGCCCGCCCAACAAACGTGGAGCGCTGTGAATGGCAAGACACAAACCTGATCCGGTCCCATGGTAGACCTGCTGAGGCTACAAAGGAGCACAGCTAGACCTGAAATGTTTTGCCCAGCCTAGGTTTCTAGGCTACATCACGACTGGATGGAGACATGAAAAGTTGACCTCAACAGAAGGAAAAAAATAATGTTGCATTTTCTCTATGAAGATGCAAAATACCTTCATTTTCTCAACTAAATTCTCAGTAGAGACAGTTAACATCTAACCTTTTGACATTTCTGATTCTCGCCACATCACAGCACACAGAAATGTTTTCATGTATCCAAAAATGACTTTTATGAAGGACAGGTATTTAGGGTCCACGCCGCTGTGTGTCATATCCTGTTCATGACATTATGAAGTGGTCTCTGTAATATTCCTTAAGTGAGTACTTTGCTTTGTGCTGATCAGTTTTTGTCATTTTTAATAAATAATCTACACTGTAAACACTTGAGCAGAGTACGCTAGTTTAAGGGGAGACACGTCTGTAGACATTTGTCTTGAAAATGGGCAAACAGCTGAGGTAAAACAATTAGCACAAACATTGAAACAAGAATAACTTCATTGGTTGACTATAATTTAACAGCGTAAAGGACAAACTGTCTGACTGCACTGAGGCTAAACTAGGCTTTAAGAACCTTTTTTCCTGTTTTTCAGAGTTTGTCCTTCTTAAATCATTTGGCCTTTCTCATATCACTGCTCACATCTACCCCACCGTATGACGTGTAGCTTCACATCTGGTATTTTCCTTAACCCTCTGAGACTGACGCTACAGGAGCCATGACTCAGACACGCGTGAGTTTGTAGATTTACATGTAAGATATAAAACTTTTTATTCACCGTTTCTCTCAAAGAGCAGAGTTTAAAATGTTATAAGCCACATTTATAGAAAAAAATGCATCTTAAAAAAAGCTATAGTTGTATTGTTTACGTCGTCATTCCTGTAGTGGGACACCAAAGTTTTCCATCTTACAAATGATAGTCATTATTTCTGACACTACCATATATTTGGGATGTAGACAAGCGTTCCCATGTCATGTGTTCTGGTGAGTCTGGGTTGGGCTCAGAAAGAAGACAACTAACAGGGATTTACGGCTCTGTTTTGAAACTTTGGCCTCTGACATTAAATCCACGACCAATCCTCCAAACTCCAGTAACACCATTTCCTTCTATGCAAAATATGTTGCTGTTCACTCCCAAATGACACATCCACTGCACTGAAGGGCTTTCCTGTGAAATAAATCTGCACCTCCGTTTCCTTTAGTGGAAAACAAAGATGTGGTTCCTGACTAGTGTGAAAGGAACCCTGAGTGGCAAGGGGTGGCAAGATGGCGCCAGCGTGTTCGGCAAGCCGTCTGCTGTTCTCTATTTTTTTAATTTTTTCGCTGTTCCTATGTTTTGTGGTTAATGTTGGGACTGCTATCCTGACTTATGACCGTGCCAACCTCCTAGATCTTCGTTCGCCTTGGCTCCCTGGCCAGGATTACCACAACTACCATTGCGAGACCCTGCAAATGCTGCGCTCCACTATTCCAGCCTCTCTGTGGAGAGTCCCCGGCCCGTTGTGGTTCAGGCAGGCCCCCACAATGCGGCTTTAAAATTGAGGCCAACCTGGAAGTAAGAAAAATTGCAGTTCCACCCTCATCCACTAGGGGCTGGTGTCAGAAGCGAGCAAATCCTCATTGTCTCCCATGTTAACAATACCAATTTCACAGCAGAAATAAACATGTTTACAGCCTGGTACCAAAACATGTTTTTTTGTTTAAATGATCTAGTTTACACTCATGACAACTCTGAGGGGGGTGAATTTTTTTCTCACTTCTGTTTAAGTGTATTAAAAGACTAAAAGTCTGTATAATTAATGAGCATCCGACCCACGTGCCGCCGCCTCAGACCCACATGACCACAGAGCTAGCTCCGTGGAAAGACCTCAGTAGAGCCTTGGTCTGGCCCGGGATTTAGAGTCTCTGTGTTTGTGTGTTCTTTTTTGGATATTTTTTGTGCAATTGTTGGACAAAATGACTTGCTGTGGTATTAATTGCACTAATAGAGCGTCCAAGGAGTCTCCACTTCATTTTTTTTGGTAAGTAAAATTATATTTATGTATTTTAGGTCACTGCCGAGCTGAGCTTAGATTTTAACATGTACTGTTTAACCATGAAATTTAAATGTAATAGGGTAAAACCCAGTGCATTTAACATAATGCTGCACTTTAGAAAATGAGTTGAAATATAACATGTTGGTGGAGCTGGGTTCCGACTATCGGCTTGTGGAGCTCTCGGGAGACCGATGTTTTCCACCCGTTCTCCCCTCCCCGCAGCTTGGCGCATCTCTGTCTGATCGCGGCTTCTGTCTGCTGCGCAGGCTGCCGGCTGACTTTTGGTTCTCCCCGCAGCTCAGTGCATCTCTGTCTGATCGCGTCTGACGATTGCCAATTATATGCCTCTGTGAAGCCTAATGACTCCTTGTTGAATGCTGCAATGATGTGAAGAGCTGGCTGTCAGAAAACTTTCTTTTGCTGAACGACGCCAAGACAGAGGCTATCATTTTCAGCCCTAAGACTTCTCAAAGTCCCCCAACTGACCCATCCATTTATCACAAGTGGGTTGAAAACCCGTGTCACAAACTTAGGGGTTGTGATGGATGCTAAACTAAAAATGGACATTCATGTCAACCAGGTAGTTAAGACCTGTTTTTACCACCTGAGGCGTCTCTCTAAAGTGAAGCCCATTTTAAAAAGGCATCATCTCCATTCATTTGTCCATGCCTTCATTACTTCCCGTCTCGACTACTCTAACTCAGTGCTATATGGTATCTCCTCCTCCACTCTCGCTCGCCTTCAGCTTGTGCAGAACGCAGCAGCTCGATTCTTGACTGGCACCAGGCAGCGAGAACACATCACACCGGTTTTAGCAAATCTCCATTGGCTCCCCATCCATCTCCGGATAGAGTTTAAGATCCTGGTTTTTGTGTTTGAATCTCTCAATAACAGCACCTGGCTACTTGTCTGAGCTCATTCACCCTTACGTCCCTAAAAGATCCCTCCGATCAGCCGACCAGCACCTCCTACATGTCCCTAGCTCCCGCTGTAAATCCCGCGGGG